GAACCAGAGCATAGTACTGAGTCGACATTTGTTATGAGATGAGATGGCATGGGTGCCAGTGTGGGTGGTCAGTGTGCCCGAGCAGTGCACGGTGCCCCGTCTGTGTCTGCTCACAGAACCCAGACATCAGTGTTGGCAGGACAGAAAAAAATAAATGAATCCCTTGTGACACTTGCGCGCTGAGGTAGGTTCTGAGACATCACTGTGCCAGGCCATGTGGCAGAGAAAGAAGCAGGGGTTTTCTTAGCTTGGGCGGGCAGACGGGGAAGCCCTTTCTCACAGGGGTCATCTGAGTCCAGACCAGGAGCCTGCAAAGGTGTCAGCTGGTGGGGACTTACGGGGTGAGGAGGGAGCTGTGACCAGGAGCTCTCACATCCCATGAGGAGCCCCAGGGTGAGGATCCAGCTGCGGCTGGCTGCCCTGTATGCCACGGCTGAGGCCCCCGTTCAAGAGGAGGGCGGGACATCTTAGCTCACGCAAAGGGGGAGGAGGTGCTTACCTGTGAGCAGAACGGCCAGCACAAGGAGTTTCATCTTGAGTGAGGAGCCGAGCTGACGGGACGAGTGGCCTCCTTTCTTATAGTTAGGGCCTCCACACCTCCCAGATAAGACTGTTTGCTTTCCTCTCAGCCCACTGTGGCTTGGCCTCGCTTCTGTTGTCCGATGGATTTACCTGTGGGGGTTCCTGGAAGCGATGTCGTGGATTTGTGCTCTACACTTTTTAAACAAAGGGATTATTTCTGGAGTTTGCAGGACCTCAGAATCTTAATCCACACTCCCACCCTTTTATTTGTACTCAGCCTCGTGCTGGTTGGGGGTAGGAGGCCCTCAGTCCTGGTGATAACAGGGCACAGGGGGCCGGGAGGGAAATGATTGCTGCTCCCAGTCGTTGTCACTTGGCTGTGTCATTGGCTGGGTCTGTGTCACTGGCTTGACATCACTGACAGTCTCATCAGTCACACACCTTGCAGAGGAAGAAGCGGGTTCAGAGAGGTGGAATAACTTGCCTAGGTCACACAGCTCGCGATGGAAAGGCAGGGGCGCAAGCTGAGGTCTGACTGATTCTGCGGCACACACGTTTTATTTCTCCCCGCGTGTCAGCTTCACTTTCCTCCCCACTTTCAGGTTTGTGAGAAACCCCTGGGCTGAGGAGTTCCAAAGCTTTGGGTCTGATCCATAGAAAGAGAACTTAGCAAGACCCTCTCTCAAACTAAAAAATAAATGCCGGGGATATAGCTCAGCAGCACAGCGCCTGCCTGGCAAGTGCAAGGTCCTGAGTTCGAAAATAAAAAAAAAAAAAAAAAAAAAAAAAAAAAAGGAAAAAAAACTAAAGAGCTGCTTGTGTACCTTACTATTATCATACTAGTTTATTTAATCATATGTTGCCAGACAAACATAGTTTTATTCCATAGTTCCTTAAGAATAATTCTACTTAATAAATATGGAGCTGGGGGTGGTGGCACATGCCTATAAACCCAGCACTCAGGAGGCTGAGGGAGGAGGATCACCATGAGTTCAAGGCCAGCTTGGGCCACACAGTGAGTTCAAGACCAGCCTGAACTACATAGAGAGATCTTGTCTTGAAAAACCAAAAAGGCCTCTTTCCCCAGGACCCGCCAACATGTGCCACATTAGCACCAAGACAGTGAAGAAGGCGGCCCAGGTCATCATTGAGAAGTACTGCAGGCGCTTGGGCAACGACTTCCACACCAACAAGCTCGTGTGCAAGGAGATCGCCACCATCCCCAGGAAGAAGCTCCACAAGACACCAAGCTATGTCACACATCTGATGAAGCAGATTCAGAGAGGCCCTGTGAGGGGTATTTCTATCAAGCCGCAGGAGGAGGAGGGAGAAAGGAGAGATAGTTATGTCCCTGAGGTCTCAGCCTTGGATCAGGAAATCACTGAAGTAGATCCTGACACTAAGAAAATGCTGAAACTTTTGGACTTTGGCAGCCTAAACCTGCAGGTCACGCAGTCTACTTCGGGATGAATTTCAAAATGCCATGTGGAGCTATTTGAATCTTTTTGCTATGCTTTAATTTTTTTTTTTTTTTGTCTTTTTGAGACCGTCTCACTATGCAGTTCAGGCTGACCTTGAGCTCACTTTGTAGCCCAGGCTGGCCTCGAACTCGCAATGTTCTCCTGCCTCAGCCTCCCAAGGGCTGGGATTATAGGTGTGCGCCACCACACCCGGCTTGCTATGCTTTAATATCATCAATAAATTGGGGACAATAGAAAAAAAAGAAAAAAACCAAAAAGGGAGAAAAAAGTGGAGTAACAAAATTAGAAAATGTTCGTCTCTTAACCTTAATGAATAAGTTCACACAACAGATCAAAGATTGATGAAAAAAAAAAAGGGGGCCAGGTGTGGTGGCGTACGCCTGTAATCCCAGCACGCACTCGGGAGGCTGAGGCAGGAAGATCATTGCGAGTTCGAGACCAGCCTGGGCTACAAAGTGAGCTCAAGGCCAGCCTGAGCTGCATATCAAGACCTTGTTTCAAAAAAAATAAGATTGATGGGATGCTTTACAATGGTGGCTTCAGGGTGTTACATCTGGGTAGGCAGAAAAATTATCCTCTCCCTCAAAAATGTCCACATCCTCCTCCTCAGAACTTGTGAATATGTTACTTTACATGGCAAAGGGGCTCTGCAGATTAAGGGTCTTGAGATGGGGTTACCTTAAGGGTCTTCTAAGGGAAGATGGAGGGGGAGACTCAGAGAAGATGAGACAATGGAGAGAGAGGCGGGGATCTAAGGGAAGATGAGAGGAGACCCAGAGAAGATGAGACGATGGAGAGGGGGGCGGGGAAAAGAGCAGAGGGGAGATTAAGGTTCCCGGCTGCTGGATTTGAAGATGAGAAAGTCAGGTTGTCCAAGGCCAAAGAACCCATGTCTCTAGCAGCTGGGAAAGACAGGAAAGCGATTCTGCTCTGGAGCCCAGAGAAGGAACACAGCCCTGCTGACACCCTGATTCTAGGACTTCCAGAACTGCAAGGTGACTGTCTGCTCACCACCAAGTGCTGGGATCTGTCACTACAACATCAGGCACCAACAGACATTTGAACGTACTGACCCACCTGAGCAGCCCCGAGAGGCACGGAAAGAACCATATTCCGGCCGCGTCACATGTCACACACACACTACCAGGAAAGCTCCCTTACCAAAAAGGTAAAGTTCAACCTGATTACATCTTCATCACTTAGTTCTTATAAAGAAAATATGGAAAAAAAAAAAAAGAAAAGAAAATATGGGGACTTCACTGGTTAAATGATACAGCAAAAGAGAAACAAGACAAATCCTAAATGTGAGATATTCTTCAAAGACAATTAACTGATCTAACTGCAAGCAAAAAAAAGGGAGAGGGAACAAGTAGAGTGCTCTAGATTAAGTAGACTTGAGAGACTCAGCAAATTAACTTTAAATAGCTATTCTGAAACAAGTGGAGAAATTTTAATATGTGCTGCATATTAGATGGTGTTAAGGAATCGTTAAATTTTTTTGAGACTGGTCTTATCATCTTGCCCAGTCTGGTCTCCAACTCTTGGGCTCAAGGGATCTGCCTCAGCCTCAATTCAGTAATGCCTCACATGCTAGGCAAACACTACACAATAAACATCTGAACATGTGAGCTTCATTACCACCCTCATTTTTTTTTAAAGAGATGAGGCCTTGCCATTTTGCCCAGGTTGGCCTTGAACTCCTGGACTCAATTAATCCTCCTGCCCCAGTCTCCCAAGTAGCTAGGCCTAGAAGCACCACCACCATGCCCAGCTTCACTGCTAATATTGTGAAGGAGGATTATAGGCATGTAACACTATGGTCATGCTCACATTTTTAAAGAGATTCACGCTAATGTGTGCAGGCCTAAATATGTGACACCCGGGATTTATGTTAAATCAGTGTGACATAAAATGATTAAAAAAAAAAAAAAAAACAGACGTGGTGGTTCATACCTATAAACATAGCACTGGGGAGGTTAAGACAGGAGGATTTCAGGGGGTTGAAGGCCAGCCTGGGGTACACAGTGAGTTCAAGGCCAGCCTAAACTACTTAGTAAACCCCTATCTAAAAAAACCAAAAATAACAAAACACCACACACACACACACACACACACACACACACACACACAAAGCAACAAAGGGAAAGAAGTGACATTGAAACAAATACGGACCCCAAAACTGCTGAATCTAGTTATGAGTATAATGGCAGACTCACTATACTATTCTCTGTGACACTGAAAACAAGAGTCTAAAACAACGGAGGTGTCTAAAACAACGGAGGTGGTTGGTGATATTTAAAAACCAACAGTGTAGGCCTGGCGTGGTGGCATGTGCCTATAATCCCAGCACTGGGGAGGCTGAGGCAGGAGGATCATTGCAAGTTTGAGACCAGCCTGGGCTACAAAGTGAGCTCAAAGCTGGGTGTGGTGGCGCAGGCCTATAATCCCAGCACTCAGAAGGCTGAGGCAGGAGGATTGTTTCGAGTTCAAGATCAGCCTGGGCTACAAAGTGAGCTCAAGGCCAGCCTGAACTGCATAGCAAGACCCTGTCTCAAGAAGACAAAAAACAAAAAACAAAGTGAGCTCAAGGCCAGCCTAAACTGCATAGCAAGACCTTGTCTCAAAAAAGACAAAAAAAGAAAAACAAGAAAGTCCCCCAACAGCTTGGGCTGGGGATGTGGCTCAGCAGCACAGCACATGCCTGGCAAGGGCAAGGCCCTGGGTTCAATTCCTGGTACCAAAAAAGGAAAAAACAAAAACCAAAAACTAACAGCTTTCAAGGCTGGACTACATAGAGAGACCTTCTCTCAAAAACACAAAACAAGGGGCTGGGGATTTAGCTCAGCGGCAAAGCGCCTCCCTGGCAAACGCAAGGTCATGAGTTCGGTTCCCGGTACCGGAGAAAATCCAAAAAAATAAAAAACATTAAAAAAAACAAGCTGGGCGTGGTGGCACATGCCTGTAATCCCAGCACTTGGAAGGTTGAGGTAGGAGTATTGCAAGAGTTCAAGGCCAGTCTGAGCTACATTGTGAGTTCAAGTCAGCCTGAACTAAAAAGGAAGACCCTGTCCCCAAAAAACCAAACCAAACCAAATCAAGAGCTTTCATATCAAAATCTACATCTGACTTCACTTGAAATCAAATGTAGCCAGGTGTGGTGGCACACACCTGTAATCCCAACACTCCACAGGCTGAGGCAAGAGGATCACTGTGAGCTCCGGGCCAACCTAGGCTACCTAATCCAGTTCAAGGGCAGCCTGAATTACGTACCAAGACTCTGTCTCAAAAAGAAACAAAAACATCCAGCCCAACACATTTTTATATTACCTATTTGGCATCTGGGTTTAGGACCCTAGTATCCCAATTCAGTTGTCATATCAGATGTAGAGTGACTAAGGGATGGTAAATCGCCATGTGTAGATGCACACACTCCTACCATCTAAGTCTCCTCCATCTTCATCCAGATCTGATTGCTGCCAGGTTGCACTATAGCTCCTGTTTTCACTGAGTGCTTAGTAAAAGCAATGCAATATACTTAGCACTCTGGAAATTTATGAGCATGAAAATCATTCCTGCCTTCTGGGTACTAACAGTCTAATAAGGAAGACATATAGACATAAGTAATTACAATACAAGAGAGAAAATAAATGAGTTTAAGGCACTGTTCAGGGGTGTGCGATAATGCAAACTGGGAGGTGACAATATAGAAAGCTTCAGGAACAGATCATGCACAGCACTAGTGAGCATGTTGGGAAATTTAAATTATCAGATGAGCAATAGTGAGCCACTGAAGGGTTTTAAAGTATAAGAACAAATAAGAAAGCTGGGTGTTGTGTCACACGCCTGTAATCCCAGCACTTGGCAGGCTGAGGAAGGAGGACCACTGCAAATTCAAGGTGCCTGGGCTACAATGTGAGCTCAAGGCCAGCCTGAACCGCAGAGCAAGACCCTGTCTCAAAAATAGAAAACACACAAACAAAAAAAAAACAAATGAGAGACAGTAACACTGAAAATGAGAGCCTCTTTCATTGGTCAAATTCTTCGATTCCATAAACTACAGCCTTTGAAGAGATTGAAGCACCACTCTTAGCCAGAAATGGTGGCCCATGCTCCTAATACAAGCATCTGGGAGGCTGAGGCAGGAGTACTGCGGCATGTTTAAGGCCAGTGGGGGCTACATAGTGAGTTTAAAACCGGCTGAACTTAGTAGAAACCTTGTCTCAAAACAAACAAAATAAAAACTGAGGCTAGGCATGGTGGAGCACGCCTGTAATCCCAGCACTCGGGAGGCTGAGGCAGGAGGATCGTTGCAAGTTTGAGACCAGCCTGGGCTACAAAGCTCAAGGTCAGCCTGAATTGGATAGGGAGACCCGGTCTCAAGAAGACAAAAAACAAAAAACAAAACCAAAACACCAAGACAGAAGCACGACCCTCAAAATACTTATCTATGTCCCTAAGATTTCAGGACAAACACTTGCATAGGTAGATAGAACTGCCCTACTCAAAATGGTAAAAGCGTGGGATGGCCAGGCATAGTAGCACATGCCTATAATCCCAGCCCTTGGGAGGCTGAAGCAAGAGGACTGCCACGAGTTCATGGCCATCATGGGCTACACAGTGAGTTCAAGATTAGCCTGAACTACACAGCAAGATGCTGTCTCAAGAAAAAAACTTAAAGAAAGTATAGGTCACAAAAACTACAGTCCTTAAAGGTAGTTTACTCCAAAAACAGTGACCTATACATTTCATCTATTACCAGTACTAAATCCAAATACCTTAAATATAAGTTATGGTCTTACTTTTTAAGCTATGTTTTTACTATATCTGAAGCTCTATTTAAAAAGTAAAAATATTTCTGAAAAAGACAGTCACGCTCAATGTGAAAGAATAAAAGTTCCTAAAACACAATCAAGTCTTGATGTCAAATTATATTAACGGTTCAAAACCGGGTTAGGCCAACTTCACCGCAAAACGGGACGTACGGCACTACGGTTAGCAGCCGTCATGAGAGCACAGCTGAGACTCAGCCAAGTCCAGGCTGCGCCACACCAAAAGGAGGGCGCAGAGGTTAGGACTACTTTGTGGCCAACGACGGACTTTAATCGTCTCCAAGAACTCCACATTAAGGCGAGGGGGGGTACTCCTGCAGTCTGATGTTCCTCCACGCACTTCTCTCTTCTGTAGGCGCCTCTTGCTCTTCCCGGCCGCCTCCCCGTCGCGCCACGGAGCCGGCCGTACCTGTCTACCGCACGGCCAGCGCGGGGGCTCAGCGTCCACGCGCGTCAGGCAGCACCGGAAGTGACGAGCGCGCGCGCTGTACGGCCTTCCGGGGACCACGGGGGCGGCGGCGTTTCGTTACCTCCCCGCGCGTGTCGCGGCGTCTCACGACGCCGAGGCCCACACACCTCCACAC